AATTTACTCTCATTTGATAGAATCCAATCTAAGTATTATCTTCATCGTCATCATAATCATCATTACAGATCTTCACAAGTCCACTGCTGAACATAGGCTTCCCCGACGGAAAACCACAAAGCGTAGTCCTAAGCCACATGCATCCGTCGACTTCCTGCATGTGTTACCTGATCGTCACTTCATTTAATGACCATTATCTTAAATTGAACCACTCGGAGATTTTTTTATTTCCCAGACATGCAGGTTTCCTTACGATGTGTTCCCACTTAAAGAAGATATGAATTTTCATTATTTCAAAATATCCCAGCAAGCAAACCGAGTTCGATCCCGCCGACAGCGGTTTAATACTTAACGACATGCTAGGAGCTGGACGTATTGTGACGCTGACTTTTTTATAGAACGGAAGGGACAAATAAACTTTATATTCTATCGGATGGTAAATAGCTACTATAGCCCGGGGTCACCGGCAAAAAAATTTCAAGAAAGAAAGCTACAAAAGCGATACCTGTAATTAAAGTGTTTCTCCATACCTTCGGACCGAAGCCCAGCAGTGCAAGCAGGTGTTGGGTGGAAGAAATAAATAAATAAATAATTTAATATTAATTAAAAATAGTTAAAAAGGTAGCGTTTGTAGAGTTAAAAATATTTCGAAGAAATGTGAAATCCACCATATACGGTAGGAGCATCGCAGAAAATTGCGTCATTGAAGTCGGGATTCGCCCAATGAGATCCTGAATTTTATAGTGCCAAAATTTAATAAAGATTTAGTAACAATTACTACCGAATAAGATGCATAAGTACTGCATTAAATGAAAATAAGTACTAATTATATTTTTTTACTAAAACCATTACAAATATATTTTAAAATAAACATGAGACAAGAAAATAATATTCTTAAATCTCATTGTTATAATTTTAGTGACAATTATTACCCCATTTAGTAACAAAGGAAAATTTGTGTTGTTATTCACAACTTCAGAAGATATCAAAGCTTTCTTCGGGTGAACTCTAGACCGAATTAAAGCTTGCAATTACACCTCAAAAACGTCAGTACTATCTGCGTTAGAGATTTCTTATTTAATGACTATACTTGTTGGTGACAGTCATATACCAGTTAGTTTGAAATGTTTAATATAACCAGTTTATACGCCTTAGGGAATATTCCGAGCTGAAGTTTACACATAATAGAATAACGCCACAATGCCTACGTCTTTTGCTATGAAATATGTGTTAAGATTTAGCGTGAAAGAGTTTACACTTTTTTTGCAAACTATTTAAATCCTGTCAAAAATGAAATAAAGCCTATTGTGGGAGATAGGTAGGTTGTTACTTTACGTTTAGTCTATAACTAATATTTATACGTGGTAAAGCCATCCTGCAGCTGTATTAAGGTTGTAGCACGAATGGGTCGGCTCGACCGGGGAACGACCACGCTCTCACAGAATACCAGCGTCGAATAACAGCTTAATAGGGCTGTGTTTCGAATGGCGTGTGTAAAGATCCAGAGACCCTTTTTACTGGAAACGAGGCCTTCCATATTAGTCCTCAGGGATGACAACGAATCGGCATTTTGGTTCTTAATCGAGGAAATATGTAGATATCTATGACACACAGCAACAGCATCCACTTATTATCAGGTGGATCGTATTTTCGTTTTTCACTCACATTCTATAAAAAAAATTGTGTGTGTAATTGTGTACAACACACGTACGAAGTGAAACTTCTTTACGACAAATCATTCTTCTTTTATTTGATGAATAGTAAAGTAAATAAAGCAGCCACGGCGGTGAAATGTTACATGAAAACTTTACAAGAAAACGTGCCTTTTTTTAAATAACGTAGTAAATTTTTCTACTACGTCGATAAGGAAATTACACTTCAAAAATATGAATAAAACAAATGACGTAATAATAAAACCGTATAAAGCAACCGTATTGTATTCATTCGGCTTTGATATTGTGGAGCGATATTCAATTACCGCAAGGTCGGTTCGGCTTTAATCGTATTATAATCTACATCGTCGTTACACGCGCCCGCCAGCAATACCGACCGATAATTACTCACGAGCAACTATTTATTCACACACGTCTACCGAGTATGGGCTCCATGCGACAGCATATGGTAATGGCTTCCAATTATGCGTTCATGTTATGACGGATATTGTTACGATATTCAGAACAGCCACGGCGTTAATTAATGTGTGAAGTGTGAGCGTTACATTGAAGGCTTAAAAAATCACAGGGTCTAATGGTCCGACTTGTATTGGATTATTTTTGGTTTTGTTCCTTATCTGAATAAAGAGAAACTGGGACAGTCGTAACACAGCTAAAATCAATTAAGTCCTTGAGTTTTAATTAATAATTTTAGTACAACAAGCATGCAAGTCAGAATTCAGAAATTAGGTATTACATATTTAATTCAATTTTAATTGGCTATAGGAAAAAGTAGTTCGTAGCAAACCGTTTGATTTCAATGCTTGATTTGTCAACAACAAAGTTTGGGGATCAGTAGAGCATCTTATAGTCTTATGATAGAATGGAGAGGGATGAAAAAAGACATGTAATTCCTGCACACACTCTCCGAAAAGTATCTTGTGAAAGACCGCAAGGCATGCTACTATTCAACTTTGCTCGAGACTGGTAGGATTGCTTCTAACTTAACTAAACTTACCGGTCTCTAGTATATTCTAAATATATTGGTAACACTAATAAGCCTCTTAGCACTCCTTTCTATTAATTCCAAAGCTGTTAGGTGGCATTATGAAGAATTAGATTAGATTGAATTATTATATTATATGCCAGTGGAGCCGTGGTAGCTCAGATGGTTAGCGCTCGCTGTAAATTTCACAGTACGCGAGCAAACCGGGTAAGATGCCCGCCGGCACCAATGAAATTGTTAATTGCAATTTTAAGTGCTGATTTACCACGTGCTCGGCGGTGAAGGAAAACATCGTGAGGAAACCTGAATGTCAGAGAAATAAGAAAAAAAATATTTCGAAGACATGTGAAGTTCGCCAACACGCATTGGGGCAGCGCGGTGGACACTTCCTTGCCCTAAAACCCTCTCAGAAATGAGAGGAGGCCTGTGCTCAGCAGTGGGACGTATATAGGCTGTAACTTTACTTTTTTTACTTTTATATGGCAGCAATACTCATTAACGTCGGAGCTTGCGCTTTATATAGTGTGAGCGACAGTCCCAGCGTGATGCATTGTCTTTACAAGGGTGCAATGAGTTTCAAAGTTCAGGTTTGAAGAAACCTCAACCTTCAGCAAGAGAAGATGGTCGGTTAATTCCAATAATACATTTAGAAGGAAGCAACCAAGTTGAGCTGGCTCCTTTTCACGGTAAAAACACACGCTTTTATTTTTGAGGTGTAGAACCTCACGAGATTGGTATCTAGGAGGATACTGCTCCAGTTTCTTAGCTGCTCTTTCGGACTGGATTTCATCCCTACTGGTTCTATCACTTAGTTGATATCTCTCCACAATCGTACTGTCATCGACGTAATCATACATACCGGGCATAAGCAGTTGAAAGAATAACTTATCTTGATAACTTTTTATTAGTTTTTGACTCTTCTAAAATTCCTGAAGAAATACAATAAGTGCAGTAGTTACTTCATGTGAATATACTCAATGTAATTTTTCAATCATTGTTACTTTATAGACCATTACTCATGGTCATTATTTCAAAGAACTTAAATAATGGTTACCAAGCCCGTACGAAACAGAGCTATAATCCTATCTATATTAAAAATTTATACAAATGCACTCATTAAGCTTGTGTTAAGTAACCCTCAACAGAGTTAATCCATGATTACAATTTTGTTTTCGTAATTATTTAATATTACTTTTAAATAAAAATATTTTATTATTTTGTGATTGAAATACTCCATCAAAGTAAAATTTTGACTATTTATCTCATCATTTAATATTTATACCTAAGAATTTGCTTGAAAGTAATGAGTAAGTTACTGAGTACTTTGATGAAAGAGCTTTTGGCTAGATTCAGAAAATATTTGATTGTAAATACTTCATAAATAACTTTGAGAAATCCTTTTAAATTTATAAATATAAGTTGCTAAGTTAAAATCTGTTAGTGTCCACAAAGATCAACGAAAGCGACGTCTCAGTTAACGTGTTTCAGCCAGCACAAAACTCCAGATCTCTTTGTCACATTGACGTTAAAGCTGTAGTCGACATTTTAATTCTCGGACCAAGTATTTCGATTCTATCTAAAGGGATAATATTTAAAGTTCTTACAAACTATTCACTGCTTCGGTCGTATTTCTGATTAATTTATGCTAACAGTAGTCACTGTCGATTTTCATTATATCTTTAATTATATATTGAATTTTTTAAACTCTTGTAACTCCAACGCTGGATTAAGACTGTTTCAAATACTGAAGGATTTATCTTAATCGTAACGCTTGAAAACCGTGTTTGCGACAGCAGCTTCGTGCCTGTTACACTCATTCCCGTTACCGGTTTGTAAAATATATATCTAGCATTTCCGAGGTATTCCTGGTCTTTCCCTTTATCGCCTCTTATGACTGTACAACTGGTTGAGATGATAAGTTCCCTAACGTTGCCACCACGCTATTTTACGCGCAGATGGTGAAATACTTGAAAAACATCATTACAGTCGAACACAAGTCCGCTGCATATAGGCCTCCTCCAAGGGAATGCCACAAAGTAGGGTTCTGAGCCATCTCTATCCATTGACTACGTGAATCTCTTAAAAATTCATGAATTTATCCAGTTGAGGGCCACATTACACTTACCAGTAAAAGGTTGCCACAAAGAACCTTTCTTCCCCGTTGATTATCGGTTCTTCAAATTATATTGCCAACCCATTGCTAGTTCATTTTACTTATCGGTTACTTTTACAGTTTACTCAAAATGCCTTAAGGTAACTAAGTTAATTATGATCTATTTTACTGTCGGCAGGTCGCAACAACGCGGCTACCATTGCCGACGTTTTCGCCGCGCGCCGTGCTGATGTACAGTGCGGCAGTTGGCGGCGAGGGTGCGGTGGCTTTGCAACTAAGAGAGGCAGCTCCTGGAGAGATAGATGCAGCGAGACTGCATGACGATCGACTCGCTATCGCCTGCCATGAGCCTGAACTACTCGCTGATTTGCTTCACACTGCTGCTGACATTGGTATGTTTTTTGGATATACAATGGAACTACCATTACTTATTATTATATTTAATGTAAGACATATTATATAAAACAGATATTGTATATTTTTTAGGGATTTTTGTAATGGCATGTACACAACTCCATGAAAAATTGACTCTGTGGAGTCGAGGAGCTACTAACAGCTTGCTTAAAAGCACCTTGTATATCCGTGTATAGCCTATAATTGAAACATCGTAAAGGAGGTGAGTTCGTCGGGATTATCATGGGAACAGATCGAGTTAGCGGACCGAAATTAAATTCTCTAACTAGAGATTTATGCGACCTCAGGCGGCCCGGGGGAGATGTATTAATCACACTATATTCCTCCAGCGATAACTTACAAGAGCATAAAACCACCGTCAACGAAATTGACATTCAGATGTCGTAGACACGTTGAACTTGTTTTACTCATCCACCAAGGGAAGAATCATGAGATATATTCTACGGCCCGGCTTCCCCAGTCCGTAGTATCTCGTATTTTGAAATTCAAATATCGAATTTTGCATTCTAAACTGGCACCGAGCAGTACTCGAGCTCGCCGGACATATCCATAGCTGGTAACACATTGTCATTTTCTATTACGAGTAGGTCACTTGAAACTAGAAAGCGTTTTCCAGATACTAGTATTTCTAATTCAATTTAGATCTGATGTTTTAACCTTAGTTAATTTTCTTCAACATTAAGTTTATTTTAGATTAATTTAATTTAGCTAAAACTAAAATAATTTCACGGATTATATACATTGTTTAATATTAACCTAATTTATTTTAACGGTACTTCGAGAGTTATGCTTCAATAATTGTTGCATAAGGACTTGCGTGTTTGATTTCTTGATGAACTAGTTTTTTGGCTATTTTTTATTACTGATTTTGGATCCGATTTACGCAAAAATTAAAACAACAGAATTCTAAATGACACAAATATAAAATTATGTAGCTAAAATTAATAGGTTGATTGAATGAAAAATTGGTTTTATTCAATACGTCGGGACCGTCATCAACCTATAGACTATCCACAGCTGGGCATGAGCTTTTCTTAGATAAAACGAGATTGGCCACAATCGTCACGTTCACCCAGCAGATAGGTGATCGCAGTGTTTGACGTCTGGTATATTTATAGTCTGGTATATAAAAACGAGATCACCAGGTATTTCGTTCATTTCCCTGAATCTCCTCTTACGAAAGGAAACCAACGAAGCTATGTGGTAATTTGTAGTTTCGCTAAATTAAAAAAAATAAGCTAACACTAAAGTTAAAAAATTATAAGTCAAGCAATTAGGCCGACGCTATCATTCTACGTAGATTTATTCGTCAACATAACTTTCTTTGTTCTCTCTCAAAGTCAATGTTCCTCGAGGGATTATGAATATTAAAAATAAATTCACAAAAGCGTTGCTCTGGAAAAATTCAAACAATACTTAATCCACTTTTTGCAATGAAAAAAGTTCAATAACTTTCGTCTCGGCAGAATTAAGTTTGTTCCCGGAAACTCGATGAGGCAGTTAATCACCATTTGAAATATTTCGATGAACTACCTAATTGATTTATGGAGAAATTACCTTCTTTACCTTTTTTCATAAATTATGTTATAATTACCTTTTACTTCAAAACCTGAAAACTAGATTGTACAACCAATGCGTGTTGCCAGTGCAACGCAAACAAAATGGATCTGAGACATGCTCCTTCACTGCTGGCCGTATGAGGACGCTCAAGTTTACTCAGCGAGCTATGGAGAGGGCTATGCTCGAGGTTTCTCTGCGTGATCGTGATAAACTTAGAAATGAGGATATCCGAAGTTGAACCAGAGTGACCGATATAGTCCAATGGATTAGTAGCCATGTAGCTCGACGAACCGACAACCGATGGGGAAAAAGGTTCTCAAGTGGCAACTTCGTACTAGTAGGCGTAGTGTAGGGCGACCATTCACTAGATGGAGTGACGACCTGGTAAGATATGCAGAAAGTTGATGGATGCAGGTGGTGCCCGTGCTTTGTGGCATTCCTTGGGGGAGCTCTATGTTGTGCAGTAGACTTTTGAAGGGCTTTTGATGATGATGACATTATGATTAAATAATTGCTTGTAATATGGAATTTTATTTTCTAAATAATGATATAATACGAGAAGCTGGCAGTTGCTACAGACCTCCACTTAGCATGATCTTGAAAAATCTCTCTCGCTTATTTTTTTCATTCTTTCTTCCATATACCTATGCATGCATGCTCGTTGGATAAGGATACTCTTAATTTTTAATATATCGTCAATTTTGTCGATAATTTTTCATCGAGGATGTCACTTAAGGACTCTGCCCCCACTTCTGCAGCATAAGTTGGCGTTACCACTCTTCCCGCATTCTTTCTACGTGTGCAAACCCCTGAAGCATTCCTTTTTTAATCCTGGTCACAACATCTTCTTGAGACTCTTGACAGTCACTACTTCTTCTAAATACTCATCTCAAATACACAAACTCATATACTTGTTCGACCAATTCCCCTTCTACTCTTATTTCACATGTCGTTTTACATTCCTGTCTTTCAAAATCTATTACATTTGTCTTACTTGCGTTCACTTTCATTTATCCTTCTTTTAAAGATATATTCTTTAAAGTAATTTGCATCTCTCTCGCCGACGACTCAAATATTGATTTAGTCGTCGGCGTACAAGTGCCTTTTGAAGGGGGACTCACCCATTTTTAACCCACATTCTTCGACTTCCAAACTTTCTAAATAACTGTCCATAACTAGATTTTACATAGAGATTTAACAGCCACGGCGAATTTATACACATTTGCCTGACACCTTTATAGATGCTAAACCTGTCCGTGTTACCGTTGATTCCGACATAGTAACCCGAAAACACTACAGTCCCTATAAAAGGATTTTTATGGCTGTATCAGCTCTTCGCTCAATCCAAATAAGAACAGCGTTTAGCCTAGAGCAATCTTGTTCACTATATGTGTAGACATTTTACGAATCAAAAAATTTACGGAAACTTTTCTGGTTTTTGGCCAAAAACTTCTTCGTGATCATGCGCAAAGAAAACATCTGGTTCGTACATATTAAAACCAGCTTGCACATCCCAAAATCACAGTCAGTTTCTTTCATAACTCTTTGAATCAAAACCTTAGTCGTTGTATTTTTGTTATTTACATAATAATATATACATCATCCATCTTTTTAATCGCTTCACATATATTCAACGTTGCAAAGCGGGCTACCGAAATCTTTTTTTCGCCCTTACGGGAGACATGGATGGCGAGCCTCGTCACCGGTTTTACTCCTAGATATTCTTCATAACCCTTCTGTCTGTGACGGAACTCTGGGTCGTAAAATTTTTTGCCAAGTGCATTTTTGCCAAGTGGTGGCAGATTATTTTTCCGCTGCTACAAGTGCGTATGTATATTGGGCTTTATCACTCGTTTAGCATCACCCGGAGGACACGTGTAGGGTGGGCCTAGAATTCGGTTGTCAAAGCCTATGGACGCTAGTGATCCGTCCCCTTTTTCTAAATAATGCTACTTATATTTATATAATCTATATAAACAGTTATTTACATTCGAAAATTGTATGATACATAAAATAAAAAATATTAATATACTTTTCTCCAATACCTGTTTCCATCTATATCTGTGTATTACTAAGAAGCTTTGTTGGAACTATATTATACTAAATGAAAAAAAAATAACTTTTATTAATGTGATATGAGTCATATTTTTAAACACATACAGGGTTATTTTTTTTTAAAGAGTAGCCAAATTATAAACTTAAGTTCAAATATACAATATGTAACGTAATTAACGCTCACCAACGGTTGTCTGAGACAAGCCAATTAGTATGTTATGTTATAATCATAATACATACGCTGAATTTTAGTTAAACATTTTTATGCACTGATTATTTATCAAATTAGTTATACTAATTCCGGAAAAATGTTGTGGTCACAGTACAAATCCACGAACGCAAAGACTTTAACGTGCTTGAAATAAAGTTCATTTTTCTTTATTTTCATTGAATGACAGAATTAGTAATAATAGAAATAAAACTGCCCTCTTAAAAGTCTTATTGCCTTATGTTACGGTCCATTTCGGTTTGTTTTAATTGTACAGATTTAGTGTGGTTTAATTATTTTTGGGATAAAAAATTACCTATATTAAAAATGATAAGAATCGATTCAGTAAACGATTCTGAACAAACTACTTTCTCAAAGTGCGTTAATTGTGTTACGTGTTGTATAAATGATATACCATTATTGCAGTTTTTGAAAATACGAAAAAATTAGGCTTCTACTTTTATTTGAAATTGTCCCAAATTGGATGTGATTTATGGGCAACAACGTTTTTGCCTACTGATCGACCCTTACGAATGAGTGCGTGCGCAGTAAAATTAGGTAAATTAATGTAAAATAATGCATTTTGAATTTAAAAGATAAAAAGGACAGAATGTTTGCGATTTTTTTTAAATTAATTTTTCTTCACCATATTATATTACTTATTCTGAACCTCCTGACCGGTTATTGCAAAATAAGCCTGTGTAATACTAAATATAATTTAACGATGTTAAAAAATGAAAATAAATAAGAGCTGCTTATTTTTATTTTTGCTTTGTTTATTTATTTTAAATTGTGTCATTGAGTAGTTTCAATGCGCAGTATTATTAAAATAGAATGTTTTATCATTTATTTATATTTTATTTTATTCAAATATAAATACATTCAAAAAGTCTTTATAAATAAAATAAAATATTGTTTGTTCGTTCAAAATCTTAAGTCACTGTACAACAATCGAACCGCAATCGAATACACGCGTGTTGTTATATACTTTTTGAAAAACTTTCTGGGCCACAGCCAAGCTTCACCGGGTATACCTAATAAAAAAAGGTCAGTTTTATTCCCTATTACCCCTTTCTTCCCTAACAATGTAAAACTTTATGTCACATCGCGTAGTCAAAAATTAATTTTAACTACGTTTTGATATTCTTTAAAATT